TTAATTTAGTAGGAGTATTTTATGTTATTATTTGTTGCAGTTATTTTGCATTTAAGTATGGTATATTTGACATTGTGAGTTACAATATTTCAATTCAATAAAGCCAGTTCGACTTCATTACATATTACTAAGAAAAAACAAAGTCCCTTGCCGCCTTAATTGGCCTCTTGGGAAGCCGTTCAATTCCTACTCGGAAACGGGAAAACAAAGTCCCTTGCCGCCTTAATTGGCCTCTTGGGAAGCCGTTCAATTCCTACTCGGAAACGGGAAAACAAAGTCCCTTGCCGCCTTAATTGGCCTCTTGGGCAGCCTTTTAATTCCTACTCGGAAATGGGAAAACAAAGTCCCTTGCCGCCTTAATTGGCCTCTTAGGCAGCCGTTCAATTCCTACTCGGAAACGGTTAAGCAAAGGCAGAATGATGCGTAGACAAAGTGACGTACATTTAAGTAATGAGGCAGTGTAATTGTGCCGAGAAGAATAAGCAAGTACTTAAGCAAGTATTAGGATCGCATAGTTATCAAATTCAAAGGATAACAATAAGTAAACTAAAACACATCATTCTACTTCATGATCACAAGTGCAAAATATTGAGAAAAAAAACAAGTAGCTTAGAAGTACAGGATTACAGTAGTTATAATAGAAAAGCTGAGTACAAAATAAAGTGGTGTCCAACTTTTTTAAGTAGTCTTAGGAACAGTATTTGAGGCAGCAGGGTCGGAAGTAGGAGTGAATCCAAGATAATCAGAGGGGTTTTCAGCAAGTACAACAATAGAGCCTTTTTCGTCATGAGTACATAGTCGGTCATTATCAATAAAATTGAAAGTTTCTATTTTGCTCAAATGAGGCAAGGGAGAGTCTGGATAGAAAAATTTCACTTGATCCACAACCCAGCCACGAATTTGATGACCGAAGGCAACATACTTAGAATCCATGTCATTAGCAGCTTGTTGTAAAGCCACGACATTTTTCTTCAGAGTATCCACTTCTAGCTCTAACTCAGCTACCCGGAGGTCAGAATCTTCAAAGATTTTTGTCAACACCTGGTGTTTGTCAGTCAACACTTGATGCTCTTTTTTGAGGGTAGCAAGTTCCTCATTGCTTTTCTTACTTGATTCTTCGTTTTCTTTGAGTTTAATTTGGAAACCCTGAGCAACAAACTCGGCAGCTTCGACCTTTTGAAGGAGCTGTGCTTTTTCGGTTTGAAACTTTTCTTTTAAAAGTTGTGACTCTTTCAGCTCAGTTAAAATTTGTTGGCGTTCAGCTAAAGTGAGAAGGGCCATTTCGTAGTAGTGCACCTCCCGGAGAGAGTGATCCCGGATGTCGGTAAATTTGGCAATAAGTTGATCTAAAGAGAATTTGTCCCATTTTTCCCGGAGCCCGGGAGTAAAGCACGGCTTCAATTTTTCATAAAAGGGGGATCTGAGCGAGGGGTAGCCATGACAGAAGAAGGTGGAGTTGAAGACTTTTCAACAGAAGAGTCAGGACTAGGTTCGTTAATTCGAACTCGTTTTCTTCGAAGGAGCTCGCTTGAATCAATTGGGGTCTCCGCGTCCATTATAACAGTATCATCCGGGATAGAACCTGTAGCGGAAGTAGCCGACATAGGAGAACGGGTTAGAGATATGTCTTTTCCACCTGAAGCAGATGAATCGCCTTTACGAGTAGCCTTTTGCTTTTGGCGGGCAAAAAAAGTAGGGTCCATGACTTTATCTGGAAACCACAGAGACAAAGAAAATAGATTTGAGGTTAAAGGCAATATATAGATAAAAACATATTAGAATTATTTAAGTTACTTACTTAATTTCCTGCAAACCCAGTCAGAAGAATCTTTATAAGTTAGAATAGACCGAGGAATAAGGGAAATATTTTCCTTAGCTAATTCGGAGGCAAGCTTCTTGAACCAAGTATAAGTTTCAGTTTTGTCTGGGCTCAAATTCTTTGAATTCGTCAAGAATGCTTTGGCAGAAGTTGTGTAATGATGACGGTTCCAACTGAGAGGAAAGCGCGGAGCTCCGTTGTGATCCAAAAAGAAAGCAGAAGGAGGGGCAGGTTGAAAAGAGGAGGAAGAGGCAGAAGGTGTAGCAGGAAGAGCTTCAGGAATACAGATTTTGAAGTATTCTCCTTTGAAATTTTTCCAGTTATCTTCATATATAGAACACCAACGTAACCCGGGTCGAGCTTTTAAGGATACCCAGCTATGACGAGTACATCTTTTATCTACAGCATTTCAGAACATAGTAAAAAGGCAGAAAAAGACCCGAAAGGAATAGGTGAATCCAAACGAACGACAGATTATCTCGAAGGTATGTAAAAAACACCAACTGTTAGGATGTAGCTGAGAAGGAGCGACTTGCAAGTGATTTAAGACGTCCATTTGGAAATCGGAGAAAGGTAAAGGTATGAAGAGTTCAGAAAATAAACATTTGTAGGCAAAGAAGAAAGAGTTCTCACCTTGCCTGGAAGGCGAACAAATACGTTCTTCTTCTCCGGGTACTGCAACTCGGAAAGAAGTGATAATTGAGTCACGAAATAGAGGTACAGTTTGTAAGGCAGTACGGAGGGAACTCGGCTGGTTTTCATAAGAGGAACGAAGCCCTAGAGCTTCTTCCTCAACCCATTCTAAACCTTCAACAGTAGAAGGTAGTGCGAAGCGAGAAAGGGGAAGCGAACGGTACGGACGATTCCTCGGCATGGCCTGGACGGAAAGTTACCAATAAAATCTATTTTAGAAGATATAGTGCAAGATAAAATGTATATAACGCAAAATGTGTTCCTAACCCGTCCAGAACACGATAGGGTGGTTAAAGAAAACCAAAGAAGAAGAAGAGATAAAGATCAAGAAAGTATGGAGTAAAGGAAAGAGATAAGGGATAAGATGAAAAGTTCTGGGCAAAGGTTTGTTAAGGAAATAGATGACAAGATAAGCATTAATATGCACAAATAATGCCAGAAATCAACCACGATGTAATACAAGAAATAGAAGAACTTACTTGTATAAGGTGCTGGGGGCTTCAAACAGGTGGTAAAAGAATGGTGGCAAGACCCACGCAGAGAAACCAGCTAAACAGAGAGGGAGAAAAACCAGGAAGAATCGCAAGAAAGGGGAATGTCAAGAGGAAGAAGAAGAAGAAAAAACGTAAGAAAAGAAAAGAGGCAAACGGTAATATAAGGGTAGATTGGGGTAAGTGACGTTTCCGATTTTCAAAAATATGATAGATGTCAGGATGAGTTGTTTCAGATGTCAAGTCGTTTCGAAGATCAAGGTAATCAGAGAGTGACAAGTGACTATTGGAAGCTGAATAAGCAGAGAGTATTTAATAAGGATACTGACGTAAGGAAAAAGTAAAGAGCAGAATAAGTGAAACCTTAAGAGTTAAACTCGGAGTAAAAACCCATTTAACTCCGACTTTGGGGCTTAATGTTCCGGGTTCATACACTGAGCCATACTTGCTCGTAAGAGTAAAGGACACGGAACCCGGATATACTTTACCCGGATAGGCGGTTAATCATGTCAGTAAGTATTACACGTAGGGAAGTTAGCAGTTGATTGAGTCAGCCAGTATTACAAGTAGTGGAGTTATAAGTGGGCCTACCACGATGCCACGATGGTACCCACCACTTCCATAATAGAGGTAACTGTTCAGAAGCTAGCCCCATATATACACCAAGGATAGAGATAACACAGGCAGATAACCAGAATATAGATCCATATTAATGTTCGTCCAGAACAGTTATGCATTTCACTTTGTATGAAATCGATAAATCAACCTTGAATTAGGTTTAAATAGTGTTAAACCTGCACCGGATCAACAGGTATTAACCCTGCTCCCTTTTTTTAAAAGAAAAAAACTGGTTTTATAGAATTATTAGTAACATGCTTGAAAAATATCACTAATGAAACTCAAATCTAGATTATGTGGATTATAACATATAACATTTACCACAAAAAAACATTAATTACTAGTTAAAATATTTCTAATTTTATATTTATTATATTTTATATATATTTAATTCATGTGACTAAATCAATGATCCTTTAAGCCAATACTATTAAATGGAGTCAATATGATAATTATACAATCTTGGATACATTTTCTGCCTTTTCTATTAGACGACAAAATTTTTTTACACGGGAATCACGATTTTCATAAATATGGTGAAAAAATAAATTTTCAAGAAATGTTATCAAAAAGTTATTTGATAGACTAAAATATTTTCGAAAATGTTAAATTAATTTTCTTAATACTATGTTTGGTTGTATTAAATTTTTTTTTGCTATACTTGTACAAAAAACAAAAAAAAATTGCTATGGGAATCCTAAAATACCACCGATTAGATAGTATTTTCAAAAAAAATTATACACAACATAAAATTTGAAAAAAATCAAATTCTCAAGAAAATTTAAAAAATCTCATACCAAATATAATAAATAAAATTAGAGTTTTATTAATCTCATGTTAAAGGAGATAAATTATCCCGTGTCATAAAGACAAACTTGTGGATCTCTCATATGAAAAAAAAAACAAAAAAAAAACACAATTATAAAATGTGTAAAAAAGAATTTTATCACGTATAATATGAAAATAGTATTTCCCCTAAAATTATCACGCTCACTTTCTCCTCCGAATCCTAAAAAATTCCTTCCACCAACGAATCCACTTTTTCACCTTCTCAGTGAAGGTACTCTCAAGCACAAGGAAACTTCACTGCATTTTCTGCTTCTTTTTTTTTTTATCCTTATTAAAAAAAAAATTCAACTTTTTTTTTAACTTCTCTACTAAGATACTGATTCCTGAAACACAAGCACCAAGGAACTGAGCTATCCCCGCGGCTACAAATTCTGCCACCTAGAATCATACATTCATACATTGCACTTTCTTTCTTTTTCTTCCATTTGACTGACTCCCACTTATTGAGGGGTTTTTCTTCTGTCTACATTCTCGAATCTTCGTTAAAAATCCCAAGATACACCCGAAATTAGAGAAACCCCACAAAAACAATGGCACAAGAAAAGGCTTCAAACTGTGGGCACATAGTGGCATTCCTCATTGTCTTCTTAACTGTGGTCTCGAGTGGCTCTGCGTGGATTGGTGTGAATTGGGGAACCATGGCATCCCACCAGCTTCCACCTGAGAAGGTGGTTAAGATGCTTAAGGAAAATAGGTTCCGCAAATTGAAGCTGTTTGATGCAGATGAGTGGATTATGGCAACTCTTATGGGAACTGATATCGAGGTCATGCTTGCAATACCCAATAACATGTTGGACAAAATGAGTAACAGTCCCAAAGCTGCAGATTCTTGGGTTTATGAAAATGTCACCAGTTACTTGTTCTCTGGTGGTGTCAATATCAAGTTGGGTAGTCCTACAACTATATATATTATATATAGTGTTCTGGCTCTACAAATTGTTCTATTGTTTTATTACTCTCGATTTATTTTATTTTATTTTTATTGAAGATGCTGCTAGTTCTTTAATTTTTCTTGGTCAAATTTTTTTTTATAAATATCCCATTTGCGTGCGTGCAAGTCATTATTATTCGCTTTGTTTCAATGAGCTTGATAGCATGCTTTTTCCAAGGTATATTCTGTGAAATTGGTCAGCTGGATATTCCTGTGTCTGATTTTGGTGCTTCAATTAGGGAGTTAGAATGACATACCTTACTCTATTATCCTTTTATATTCTTGTTGATCATATGTAATAGCTTTTTGTTGTATGTTTAAAGCAACTGTTCCTTACTCTGCATGATTATGGTTGCAGGTATGTTGCCGTGGGTAATGAACCTTTTCTTAAAGCATACAATGGCAGCTATCTAAAGAAAACTTTGCCAGCTCTTAAGAATATACAAGCATCACTGAATAATGCTGGGCTAGAATCAAAGGTCAAAGTAACTGTTCCATTCAATGCTGATATTTACTATTCACCAGACTCAAATCCAGTGCCATCAGCTGGTGACTTCAGGCCTGAAGTACGAGACCTCACTATTGAAATAATAGAATTCTTATATTCAAACAATGCACCTTTTACAGTTAATATCTACCCTTTCCTTAGTCTATACGGAAATGATAATTTTCCCTTTGATTTTGCATTTTTTGATGGAAATAACAAGCCTCTTAGAGATGGTAATGCACTTTACACCAATGTTTTTGATGCAAATCTTGATACTCTTCTGTGGGCTGTAGACAAGGCAGGGTATCCTGACTTGCAGGTTATAGTGGGTGAAGTTGGGTGGCCTACTGATGGTGACAAGAATGCTAATGTCCAGAATGCAAAGAGGTTCGACCTGGGTTTGATTAAGCATGTTCTGAGTGGCAATGGTACCCCTAAAAGGAAAGGCATAATTGACTTGTATCTATTCAGCCTCATTGATGAGAATGCTAAAAGTGTTGCCCCTGGGAACTTTGAGAGGCATTGGGGGGTTTTTGAGTTTGATGGAAAACCAAAGTATGAATTAGACTTAACTGGTAAACATAAGGGAAAGGGCCTGGTCCCTGTGGAAGGTATAAAGTACCAAGAAAAGAAGTGGTGTATTTTAGATCCAGATGTTACTAACTTGGATGATTTGGCTGACAGTATTGACTATGCTTGTAGCCTATCTGATTGTACTGCCCTTGGCTATGGCTCTACCTGTAATAATCTAAGTCTCCAAGGGAATGCATCTTATGCATTCAATATGTATTATCAAGTAAATGACCAGAGGGATTGGGACTGTGATTTCTCTGGTTTGGCTATCATAACACATGAGGATCCATCAGAAAAGGGTTGTCAATTCCCTGTGATGATTGCTCATGGTTCTTCTTTGCTACTACATGGAGGGCTTTCTTACATCCTAAAGAAAGCTTTAGAGGTATTTATTTTTGTTATGTTTTTGATATAGCTGGCAGATATTGGAAGCCATGTAAATTTCTCTATGTAACAGCGTTTGGAGCATCCTGGGACTCCAACTAGACAGTTTTGGGCACTTTCCTCTTGATTTTCATTGTTTTAGCATATTTCACTTTTATCTAAATGTTGAAATATATTTGAATTTAAAATTATGTATTGTTAGGCTGTTTGTAGTTTGTTAGGCTGTTTGTTAGACTATTATTCAGTAAATGATTCTATAGAGATTAGAATAGAATGATTAGTTACCTACTAATTAGCAATTAGTTTTACTGACCTCTTGTATAAAAAGAACCCTCATTGAGGTAAAGAAATATACAACGACAATGAATTCTTATGTATCTGTTTTGTAACATGGTACCAGAAGCCTTGGTTCTAAATAACTTTTGAGAACAAGTCTCATATTTTTTTCCTTTCCGTATTTTTTCTTCCGAAGCCCATTACTGTTCGTCAAACCCACTTTTTTCTTCTTTGCAAATGGAAACACCTGAATCAAATCCCTCATCCCCTGCACGATCAAATCCCTCATCCCCTGAACGAAACCCTCCCATCAGCAACCCATCACCCATAGTCATCCATCAAGATTCATCGTCCTTCCCTATTTCCATCTTCCTAGATGAACCCAACTACCCCATATGGTCCCAGCTGATGGACATGAGGATCGGCGCCAGAAACAAAACCGGTTTCCTCACCGGAACCAAATCGAAACCCCCCTCCACTGATCCTGCTTTCGACACTTGGGTCACGGAGAACAAGAAGGTTAAGAGTTGGCTCATTGATTCCATGAGTCCTTCCCTCATGCCTCGGTTTCTCCGTTTGGATGCAGCATTAGAGATATGGGAGGCTTGCAAGCGCACCTACTATGACGGGTCTGACGAAACGGTGCTCTTCGAACTGAATCAAAAATCGTTCACGATGAAGCAACACGGGCGTCCGTTGGCCACATATTACAATGATCTTCTTGCAATTTTTCAAGAAATTGATCACCGCACGGCATCCCAGGCATCCACCGTCGACGGAGTTGTCCACCTTCATTCTGCCATGGTTCGCCTTAGAGTCCACATTTTTCTCAGTGGATTGGACTCTGAATTTGACAACCTCCGAGGAGAAATCCTTCGGAAGGAACCGAAGCTGGACTTGGAAGGATCGTATGCCTTTGTTCGCCGTGAAATAAATCAAAGGAACACCTTCAATTCTGCTCGTCCCTCCCCTGACTCCAATGCCTTGCTGACTCGTCCTTCTGGTCCTTTGAAACCACGTAAGTCCTCCTCCTCTTCCTTTGGAAAAATGCCTCAATTTTCTTGCACTCACTGTGGGGCTAGTGGTCACTCCAAGCAAAGATGTTTTGAGATCATTGGTTATCCCGATTGGTGGGATTTCAATAAGCAACCGCGCCGGAAAGCTTCTGCTCCTACCACCACACCTGATGCTGCTGCTGCTTCGATTGTAATCCCTGCCTCACCCGCTGCCCACATTGCACATCAGGGACATATTGGTAACACTCTTGCTTTATCTACATTTACTAGAAATCATACTTGGGTAATTGACACTGGTGCGTCAGATCATATGATTAGAGATTCTTCTGATTTACATAATTGTGAACCTTGCATTTTGCCTTGTATCTCCACAGCAAATGGGGAGACTTCTCCCATCACTGGCCAAGGATCCATTTCCTTATCCCCCCATTTATTCCTGGATTCTGTATTGGTGGTTCCCTCCTTAGAATTTAACCTCTTATCTGTTTCGCGAATTACTGCATCCTTGAACTGTACTGTTGTTTTTTGCCCTGATTTTTGCTTGTTTCAGGACATCTCAACTCGGATGACAATTGGTTATGGTGTTAGACGTGGAAAGCTTTATTTTCTGGATTTAAATCATGTTTGTGTCTCCGCTGTCAAGTCTTTCAATACTACTACTGCTAATAAAGCTTCTTCCTCTGTTTGGTTGTGGCATCATAGATTAGGACATCCATCTTTTACATATTTAGAAAAGTTGTTTCCCCAAATGTTTTCCCATTTGAATAAGGCTGATTTTAAATGTAACACGTGTGAATTGGCCAAAAGCCATCGTGTCTCCTATCTTCCTAGTATAAATAAAAGCAGTGTTCCTTTTCAAGTAATTCATTCTGATGTTTGGGGTCCCTCTCGGGAACCGTCTTTATCTCTTGCACGGTATTTTGTAACGTTTATTGATGAGTGTACTCGTATGACTTGGGTGTGTATTTTGAAAACCAAAAGTGAAGTTTTTAATGCTTTTAAACGCTTCCACTCTTTAATCCTCACTCAGTATAACTCTCATATTCAGATTCTACAAACAGATAACGTGACAGAATATACCAACCATACATTTACCTCTTTTTTGGATGATAAAGGAATCAAACATCAAACATCCTGTACGTATACCCCACAACAGAATGGTCTAGCTGAAAGGAAAAATAGGCACTTATTAGAAGTTGTTCGAGCTTCCCTCTTCGGAATGCATGTTCCCAAACATTTTTGGGGAGAGACAGTCCTCTCTGCTGCCTATCTCATCAATAGAACACCTTCTAATGTCCTTGGTTTCAAAACCCCTCAACAAACACTTGAATCCTATTTTTCTATCCCGCATGTTTCAAATTTGGAACCACGAATCTTTGGATGTTGTGCCTATGTCCATACTCCAAAACCATTACGTCACAAGTTGGACCCATGTGCTACTAAATGTGTCTTTGTTGGATATTCGGATTCCCAAAAAGGATACCGATGTTTTGATCCTGTTCTCCATAAACTACATGTCACTTTTGATGTTACTTTTCATGAATGGAAGCCTTTTTTTTCAGGGGGAGTACTCGATTCTTCTCCTCAGGGGGAGAAACCTTATGAACAAATTGGAGGAGAAGTCTTTATAGATTTTAATTCTTACTCTGATACAGCTGAAAACACTTCTGAGGCAATAGACAGTATCATGCATTCAGAAACAAGTAGTCCACATCTAACTCCAAACACTGATTCATCATCAAGAGATGTTCCGGAACAACATCATACTCTTGAACAACACCTTGATTCCAATCTTGAGGTAAACTCTGAATCTGAACCACACTCCATTGCGGTAAATTATAAACCTGAACCACCCATTCTTCCTTCTATACAGCATTCTGTAAGATCAACCAAAGGAATTCCTAGGAAAGTCTATGAACCAGATTTACAAGCAAAGGCTAAATACCCTATTAACAATTATGTATCAACTCACGGGTTATCTAATTCATATGCTCTAACAGTGAATCAATTATCTATTGTATGCATTCCTAACAATGTACAGGAAGCACTTGAAGACCCCAGGGGGAAAGAAGCCATGAACGTTGAGTTAGAAGCTTTGCAGAAAAATTTAACATGGGAGCTTGTTCCTCTACCCGAAGGCAAGAGAACCATTGGTTGCAAATGGGTGTATACCGTAAAAGTAAAAGCTGATGGAAGCATTGACAGGTTTAAAGCACGCTTAGTAGCCAAGGGATTCAACCAAAAATATGGCATTGACTACCAAGACACGTTTGCACCTGTAGCCAAGCTGAATACAATCCGAATTCTTCTTTCTCTTGCAGCAAATAGGGATTGGCCACTCAAACAATTTGATGTGAAGAACGCCTTTTTAAATGGAGATCTCAAGGAAGAAGTGTATATGGATGCACCACCTAGAGTTAAGACACAATCCAACCCCATAACAAAGGTATGCAAATTAAAAAAGGCATTGTATGGTCTTAAACAATCTCCAAGAGCATGGTTTGGGAGATTTTCATCAGCTATGAAGAAATTCGGGTATAATCAAAGTAATGCTGACCATACCTTATTTATAAAGCGACAAAGAGGAAAAATCACTGCTCTAATTGTGTATGTGGATGATATGGTGATTACTGGAGATAATTTAGAAGAAATAAAAAAATTAGAAGAACTCTTGAGCACTGAATTTGAAATGAAAAGCCTGGGAGAGCTCAAATACTTTCTAGGAATTGAGATCTCAAGATCAAAACAAGGGATTTCTCTCTCTCAAAGAAAGTACATCTTGGATCTATTAACAGAAACCGGAATGTTAGATTGCAAGCCATCTGAAACTCCTATGGAAATGAATCACAAGCTTGGAATATATCCTGATCAAATAGCTACTAATATTGGGAGATACCAGAGATTAGTGGGAAAACTTATCTATTTGTCTCACACTCGTCCTGATATTGCTTATGCAGTAAGTGTGGTAAGTAGGTTTATGCATTCCCCAAGTGTTGATCATATGGATGCAGTATTGCGCATTCTGAAATATTTAAAAGGAACGGTTGGGAGAGGATTATTGTTCAGAAAAAACAGCACATCTCACATTGAAGGATTTTCTGATTCGGATTGGGCGGGAGATAAGACGACTAGGCAATCAACATCAGGGTATTTTACATTTGTGGAAGGTAATCTGGTTACATGGAAGAGTAAGAAACAAAAAGTTGTTGCTAGATCAAGTGCAGAAGCTGAATACAGAGGAATGGCACAAGGAGTATGCGAGTTACTTTGGATAAAAAGAACTCTACAAGATCTGGGTTTGTTTCAAGATCAACCTATGAACCTTCACTGTGACAACAAGGCTGCCATACAAATTGCACATAATCCCATTCAACACGATAGGACCAAACATGTTGAAATTGACAGGCATTTTATAAAGGAAAAGCTTGATGAAGATATAATTCGTTTCCCATTCATTAAGTCTGAAAAACAACTTGCTGATGTTCTTACCAAAGCCAGACCTGCAAAAATATTTCAAGAAGCAATTGACAAGTTGGGCATGATTAATATCTTTGCACCAACTTGAGGGGGAGTGTTGAAATATATTTGAATTTAAAATTATGTATTGTTAGGCTGTTTGTAGTTTGTTAGGCTGTTTGTTAGACTATTATTCAGTAAATGATTCTATAGAGATTAGAATAGAATAATTAGTTACCTACTAATTAGCAATTAGTTTTACTGACCTCTTGTATAAAAAGAACCCTCATTGAGGTAAAGAAATATACAACGACAATGAATTCTTATGTATGTGTTTTGTAACACTAAATATCTACTTAGATTAACCTGAGATTTTGAT